TTTCAGAAAGTCTATGATAAGGTGCCACATAAAAGGTTTGTAAAAAATTATCTCTATAGGTGTGGAGGATAAGTTAGCTAATTTGATAGAAGAATAACTGTATGGAAGAAAGCAGAGAGTTGTTACAAATGGAGTTAAGTCATACTGGATTAATGTCACAAGTGGGGTACCTCAGGGCTCAGTCTTAAGTCCTTTGCTCTTTTTGATTTACACCAATAACATAGATGAAGGAATGACAATAAATTAGTTAAATTTGCAGATGATATTAAGGTCTTGGGTGTTGCTAGCTGTGAAGAGGATGTTGCTGCTTTACAAAAGGACTTACATCATTTAGTGAGTTGAGCAGATGAATGGCAGATGGGTTTCAATTATAATAAATGCAAGATAATGCATGTGGATTATCATAATTTGAATTATAAGTATAATTTGGATGGGAATAACCTTAACAGTTTCATAAAATAAAGGGTTCTTGGTGTAATGGTTGATCAGTCTCTTAAACCATCCTAGTAGCATGCTAGTAGTACAGCAAGTAGGATTTTAGGTTGTATCTACAGAAATATTAAATACAAGTCTAAAGAAGTTATAATTTTATTGTATAGGTCATTGGTTAGGCCACATGTGGAATATTGTGTTCAGTCTTGGGCTCCTTACCTTAGGAAGGACGTTGAATTGTTGGAAAGAGTTCAGAGGAGAGTAACTAGAATAATGCCTGGGATGGAGAGTTTGTCATATGAAGAGAGATTAAGATCATTGAAACTGCTTTCTCTTAAAAAAAGAAGAGTTAGAGGGGATATGATTGATGTGGTTAAGGTTTTAAAGAGAATTGATAGTGTTGATGCATCATCTTTTTCATATTTAAGGCGAGAATAGTAGGGCTAGGGGCACAGATAAGACAGTTTTATTTTTCTAACAGGATGGTTGGCCTTTGGAATGGGTTGCCTTCAAATGTTGTGGAGGCAGTAAATTTAGGTGAGTTTAAGAGAAAGCTTGATAACTATGTGAATGATAAGGGCTGACTTTAAGATTTAAAAAAATAATATTTTAGTTTAGAGGATGGTACAGTCGAGATAGACCAATTGACTCCTTGTTGTCCCTAAACATTGTGTTATGTTAATACAAGTATCAGAACATAAAGGAGCTAGTAGCAATAATTAACTTCTTTCAACCTGATACTCTAAAAAGTATATACATGGTAGAGTAAAAATCGTTTCATTCAGTTTCATTTCTAACTTTTATTCTGAAACATACAGTAATTAAGCTGGTTTCATTGGTCTTCGTAACATTTTATTTAATACCAACTTTATCATACCAGCCGTACCAACCGTATAATACCACCTGTATAGTAACTATTGTTCCAACCTGTATATCTTCCAGTAAGAAATATTGCATCGATTTTGTGAGCTTTAATGAGTGATTACAATGATAACAAGGCTTGCTATAAAGGCGCAAGTAATTTTGGATACCGATGATTGAAGACAATTTTACGATTTGTTATTTTCGTGAAATAGCTTTCAAAATTGTAACTGTGATAAAACTTGTCAGAAAAGACTTTCTTAATTAATACAATACCCGAATACACAAACAAACACATTGCTATATCGAAGATGAAATGAAAAATATTTAGTTTTGATAGATGAAGAATCTGAACGAGCCTTTGGAAAACAATGGATATTTCTTTATATTAGAAGTATCACAAAACGCTTGTTGTTTTGATCCTGAAACGATTTTGTTTTAGATTATTCTTAGCGCAATGTTTGAAAGGGGAGATTTTAATAGTTGTTTGCTAGTGAAGAGTAAGCGATGTTTTTGTACTAAGTGATCAGCTGTGTTTGTACTTAGGGCTGCGCGTGACGTTTAGGAATGGGCTTCGGTACTTTGTTTTGCTTTGAAATCCTGTTCGTGGTGAGTCTCCGTCTTTAATTACAGGTGTAGATGATCGGGTACGTCCATTTACAGAAGCAGTCGGTTTTTGCGGAGTCTTTATTTGATGCGGATCGTGGTGGGACAGGAAATGCTCCAGGGTGTCCCACCCGCCTCCCACACGAACAACAATATGATTTTCTTTCAAAAGCTGTAAAGAAACAACCGACATTTACTGCGTGGCTAGACACTGATTACCTGAAATGGGAAGAGATGTTGCACTTTATTCTCCATGCAAACTTCAATTTACCGAACGCCAAAAGAATTTATGAATACGCGTCTATTGTACGAGAACTGCGCAAAAGTTGTTCTGAAGTATGAGATTTTGGAGAATATTTTCCAACGTCAAAAGAGTATGCAAGTACACATATTATACGAGAACTGAGCAAAAGTTGTTCGTTTATGACAGTAGTACACCCCAGTGGCACAGCGGTATGACTGCGGACTTACAACGCTAGAAACCGGGTTTCGATACCCGTGGTGGGCAGAGCACAGATAGCCCTTTGTGTAGCTTTGTGCTTAACTACAAACAAACACTTATGACAGTAGCATATGAATTATTTTTCAATTATGAGATATTTGAAAATATTTAGCGAACGTCTAAAGAATATGTAAGTACACGTCTATTGTACAAGAACTGAACTAAAATTGCCTGTTTATGACAGTACTGTTTATGTTTATTATTAAGCACAAGGTCCGCAGACATACCGCTGTGCTACTTGACAGTACAGTCAGTAGCATATGAATTACTTTGTAATTATGAGATATTTGAGAATATTTTTCCTCAAAAGAATATCACATGAATACTTACTCTTACGAAAATATTCTTTCCACCAATCGTGTATCGGCCATCTGAGATTTTCTTGATCTGACTTCCGTCTCGTAGAACCTTGGCTGTTATTTGTAATACCTGCAATCAAAAAGAAAAATAAGAAGTCTTATTTGTTGCACTATTTGAATTGCAAACAGTCTCTTAGAATATTTTGTATTATTGGGAAGTGACTTTTTTTTTCTATGATCTTACAAAGTGGTATCATTTTTTGCATTCTTAATTATCTATATTAATCATTTTAAGGAATTTTATTTAATTATTCAATATTCTATGGCTTGATTTTTGTTCTAGCCTAGTGTTCTTTAGAAGGAGTGGTATCCCTGAAATCTGATCTAAGTGGGAGTAGTGATCTAATGTTGTTTAATTTTTCTCATTAGATATTAGTTTAAAATTTCAATACATAATTTGAAACAAAACAAAAAACGTTGGAATGTATCAATCCATACTTTTTTATCCAACTCTGAGAGTTTCGTACGATTTCTAATAGGTGTTACAATGCGCTTTTGGATCGGACTTGGTGTAGGGGGCGCTGTTATAGGTCCAGGGCTGATGACACTTGTTACGGACATAGTCGAGTCTGTTCTACTGTGCATGCGCGAAGGAGAGGAAACAGAAGATATCGATTCGGTTTCCGAGGCTGTTCCATAGTCTTGATCATCAATTTCCTTATCCAGTTTCACCAGTGCAGGTGGAGGAACTCCAAATCGAGTAGCCAATCGTCCAAGTTCCAGAAGACATAAAACCACGGTTCGTGGCTGTGTATGGCGGACTTGATATTTTAAACAGAAGAAAGTATTTATGGCAGTTGAACAACATATATATATATATATATATACATAACTATTACTTAGTAACTAACTA